ATGGAGTTTGTGGTACAAGGAAGAAGACATGTCCTTCGAGGTGCATCCTCCAATGGATTTCATACCATAAAAAGGCAGCAGGTACATAGAACTCTGAAGGAAGGAGTACACCTTACAATGATCCGACTATGTGAAGAAGATACTTCCTTGCTTCAATCTATGACTACACATGCTACTCAACCAGCTATTCCACAAATCATTTTGCAGCTTTTGGATGAATTTGAGGACATTTTTCAGGAGCCCACACAACTTCCTCCTTTTAGGCCTAATCATGATCACAAAATTCCATTAATACAGGGAGCTAATTCGGTGAATAAATGACCCTACAGGTATGCAAGGCAGCAAAAGGACATAATAGAGGGTTTGATTCAGTAATATTTGAAGAATGGAGTTATACAGCACAACACTAGCCCTTATGCAAGTTCGATAGTGCTAGTTGGAATGAAAGACAACTCTTGGAGATTGTGCGTGGATTATAGAGACCTGAATCAAGCTACAATCAAGAACAAATTTCCTATTCCTTTGGTGGATGACTTATTGGATGAGTTGCATGGCTCTACAGTGTTTTCAAAAATAGATTTGAGAGCTGGTTATAATCAAGTCAGAATGGCAAATTGTGATGTGGGTAAGACAACATTTAGGACACATGGAGGACACTACGAGTATTTGGTCATGCCATTTGGGCTTACAAACGCTCCCGCCACTTTCCAAAGCCTTATGAATGACATTTTCAAACAAATTTTGAGGAAGTTTCTATTGGTCTTTTTTTATGATATACTCATCTATAGTAAGTCTTTAGATGATCATGTGACACATTTACAACAAGTATTGTTAACAATGTGAAATAATTCGTTATTTGCTAAAAGGTCCAAATGCTACTTTGTTGTTGGAAAGGTAGAATACTTGGGTCATTTCATAAGTGGTGAGGGTGTTTCCACTGATCCTACTAAGATAGAAGCTATGGTTAATTGGCCATTTCCTCAATCAATAAAACAACTTAGAGGCTTCCTTGGGTTAGCTGGATATTACAGGAGGTTTGTTCACAGGTATGGAGTTGTTGCTAAACCTATCACAGATATGCTGAAAAAGGATAATTTTGCTTGGACACATGAGGCCAAATTAGCCTTCCAGCATCTCAAGCAATTGTTGTCTTCTACCCCTGTGTTAACATTACCCGATTTTAGTAAAAAGTTTGTAATTGAAGTGGATGTTTCAGGCTCTGGCATTGGAGCAGTATTGATGCAAGATAACCATCCTATTGCCTATATAAGTAGACCCCTCAATAAACAACAACAAGCCCTCTCCACATATGAAAAAGAGCTCATTGCGGTGGTGTTTGCAGTCCAAAAATGGAGACATTACTTGTTAAATAGACACTTGATTATTAGAACAGATCATCACAGCCTGAAATACATATCGGACCAAAGGTTATCCACTGTTTTTCAGCAAAAATGGTTAGTCAAACTCATGGAATTTGATTTTTCTATTGAGTACAAACAAGGGAAAGAGAATGT